TACTATGCTTTAAGTAATCATGAGAAAAATCATTTTAATACAGGACTTAATTCTCTCAACACAATTTTCTTTTTTGAAACCAAACTTAGAAACAGAAATTATAATTTGCTTCCTATAGGATTTCCCTGTCCATCAAACCACAAATGTCATTTTAAATTAATTATTTGCTAAATCTGAAGGGTCGAACAATTTATTCAGAGCAGAGAAATTAAATTAGCCACTGGATGTGCATTGAACTATGAAAATATTGGGCCCTTTATTGAATTTCGTCTCTGGTCTTTTTGTTCATAAGATACCTATAAAACAGTGGTGGTGCTAAAAGAATCTTAAAGCCCAGTCAAATACTTCCCAATTGGCCATGACATGAACCAAAAATTAACAAAATGGTTTTTTTGTTTTTTTAAACAACATCCTGTAACAGCTTAAAATACAACAAAAATACCCAGTAATTTTCACCCCTGTTTCCTGAATGGAGCGGACTGATTGGCTTCTGTTGGAAATTTTCAGACATTCCAGTTGGAATTTGGACCACTCTGCTAGAGCCACCGCTTCTGTAGAAGCTTTGCCAAATTTATACATTGATGGCAAAGGATTTTACCCTAAAAACTGTTAAATGCTGATTCATTGACTAATTACATTGAAAATGAAATAGCTTAGCTTATCTCAATAATTTGTTGGTTTCACTTATGATGCAATGTTAAGTGATAAACTTAAATCCTTAGTAACGGTAAAACAGCACCAATGCCGTAGCCAGGATTTTCAGTGTGGAACAATATCAGAGGGTGGACCCACTTTACGCGTAAAGTCAAATAATGTGGACCCATTTTCTTATATTTTAACCCATTTTACTCAAAAATATGGAAAATCTGGACCCATTTTCATAAACTTTTAACCCATTTCTGGACCACTTTACAAAAAGTGGACTCATTTTATGCATAAAATTGCATAACTTGGACCTAGTGTATTTTTAAAAATGTGGACCCATCATTTGTGAGCCCATAGGAAAAAATGTGTCCCAACTGTCCCAATAGCTGGCTAAGGTATTGAACAGCGGATACCAGTACTTTAGCACCTAAGCACTGGAGGTGCCAGCGGGGGGACAGGGGCATCAAGCCCCCCACCGGACAGGTCAAGCCCCACCCGGACAGAGCTCGTCGGACAGTCAGACCATAAAACATATACAAATAGGCCGACACCAAGCCAACACATGTCTGTCACAGTCTGGGAGTGCCATTTCCGGCCATCCAGAGGTTGCTATTCTTAAAAAAATCTCATTTGGGTTGGAAACAACCCCCCCCCCCCCTCTCAACCCTTTTCCTCAGCTCGAGCCTACGAGCTCAAGTCTCCCTGTCGGACAACTTAGCCCCCCCAGAAAATATATACTAGAGCCACCACTGCACCTAAGGTGACATTTGGTTAATGCATGTTTTATTTTTCATGAAAATCTTAAAAGTGGTTGCAGATGCTGAGAGATTTATATATAAATAAAAGAAAAATATATTCAATATGAAATATGAAGATGCAAAGAACCGGTTATCTACTATTCTGAAAGAATTTCCTCTTGTTCCATAAGTATAGTAGAAAAATTATCTGTTTTGTTGAACCAAGAAAGTAAAAAATTAATGTTTTACCTCCTTGGTTGAACCAAAAAAAGAAAAGAACTTAAAGAAAGTGACAGAAGCAGTTGCTGAAAAGTTTGCTAAAAGTAAGCAATTACAGTACAACCACAGTATAGGACCGGAAGGGATTTTAAAAATTTAGGTCAAAACAATACTTATACTCATATTTGGACACATAGGTGATGTCAAGTACTACAATAAATGCCTACTAAAGAAGTAGAGATGATACTTTCAATTCAGTTGTTTTTCGGATTGGGAGAACTAATCTATAAATCGACTAAGCCTTCTAAATACATGTAGCTTGAATGACATAGCTTTTGGAGACCAAGGCCCTGCCTGTCGAACATACTGGGGTTTCTAGGCGGCATCCACACCCCCCATATATTGGTCCCTGGCTCAGCCCTGCCCTGTCATCTATTGATTTCAATCATCCCTATGCATAGAATAGTGGTGTCTGGTAGAGAGTTTAATATACTTGCAAAATTAGTATGAAAACAATTTCCTGTACAATCGAGTTTGTATAATTGTTAGAAGATGGTTTCCGTTGCTATATCGGCAGTGATACGCCCACAGAATTTACGCTTTTACAAAACTTTCCACAAATTTAAATTGATGTTAAATTAAGTGAACTTCCAGACTTATCTAAATATAGTTTGTCAGCCAAAAATCCTTGAAAATATATACCTTCTGTTTGTCAGGAAATTAGGGAAGAAAGTGTAAAGTTTGATGAAAGAATTGAAATGTTGATTTTAAAGGATCAAATAAGTTCTCTTTCAACAAAACAGACTGCAGTTTCTTAGTTTTCTTTTTTTCTTCGTCTTGGTTGCAAACTTGTTTGGTTAGATACCGCATTACTTGAGCGCCTGTGACTGTGTGGTGTTTCTTTTCTGGTTGTTTAAGGTTCACAGTAATATTTGGTTCCTTTCTTCTGCACCTTGAGCACTACTGCAGTGGATATGTGCTCTTTATAAATTTTATTATTGTTTATTTTTATTGAAACAAATATGATTTCACTGATTTTCAGACTTCTAATATGAATATTCTTAAATTAATTACCATCCAAAAGAATAGTTGGTATTTATGTAGCCGTTAATTGGTCAAATTAATTTTCATCTGGAAAACTAAAAACTTAAATATTATATCAAATATCATCAAAAATTTAGGGGACCTCACCACTTCCCTCACCCTTCCCCTTGAATCTGCATCTGATGCAGACCTTTTCAAGGTCATATTTGCAATAGTCTATTTGTCTTGTATATAAATTGGTCCCCAGTAAGTCATGGAGATGTACTAGCTAGGGTAACTATTGCTAAGCTGTATCATAATTAAGTGGCAATTGACCTTGTCCCCTAGTGACCTCAACGAAAAATAAAGTGGTTGTGTTATTTTTATTCTTTTGGAATGTGTTTCTACTATATAATTTGTTTACTACTCAGCTTCAATGCTGTTTCTAGGTACATTGAGTTTGAAGCTCTGCAAGAAGGAGGTGTGACAATTCTAATTAAGGCTGTCATCATGATTCAGAGCTGATTTTCTAGTGGGTTAAGTACCATTATAAGTGGTTCCGAGATGTTTTAGAACATGTATTTCATCCAATTTTTTTTTGTTCCAACAAGCTGTTCTTGACTTGGCTAATAGAGAATTAACCCCTGCACTGGCCAATTTTTACATTGCTTTCTTGTCATGTTTGTTTTTGTTTCACAAAGTTGGCTTATTTAGTTGAACTGATATGACCAACATTCAATGCTCTAGAAATATTTTTGGAGCTGTTGAGTTGTGAGAATAATAATGTTCATTGACATTGTACCCAGAATCATGTAACTACTGCAGGAACCTGCACCTTAACCCCTAAAATATACATTCATTTACTTATCCACTTGCTTCCTCCTACTCTTTCCACTCGTAATTAAATATTGCTTTTGGCTTTTTCATTGCAAAATAAATAATTTATTGTTTGATACGGACATAATATTATTATATTCAATAAAATAAATGTTGTGCGACAACAGAACAAGTTTTGCTTGTTTTTAATCCTTCACAAACATTCACCAGAAGTTTATAATTAGTTATCAGCTTTAAGTTAATTAAAGTGATAATGATAGTGAAAATATATTAGGTGAATGAGATAAGCCACTTTCTGAATTGTCCTGACCAGTAAACTTTAAAAACAGATTGCTATCTATAGCATAGTGTTATCACCTTCAACTTTCCACCCCTTTAGCTCACCTGGGGAAAATCTATATCTGGAAGCTAAACCGGTAAAATATGATTTTGATGAATAACTGTAAACCCCAGATATTATACCCCACCAAAGTTAAATTACCCTTTAAAACAATGACCTCTCAAAAGCCCACTCAATATCCTTGACTCTTTCATACTTCTAATGGTGGTCGGTCATTATCCTGTAAGCTTAAAATTATCCCCATAGATCTTTAGGATATAAGATATCTTTTACTCCATCTGTAGGGACATTTGGTACACTTCAGGAAAAAAATGTTCTGATATTTTAAATAAACACTTAAAAAATAAATTCATGGTAAAATACCAGTTCAGTATTATTCTCACTATCATCACCTTTATGTTATTTTTATGGTATCATAGTGCAGGAGTGGGTCTAGTAGTATTTTTTTTTAGCTGCATATACACATGTGTAAAGCTCCCACTTTGATATTAACAGTCAGTATGTGCGTTCCCCTTCCCATGGATCCACCAGTCTTCATTTTTAGTGTTCAAACACAAAATGTTACACTATCATGGCACACACTCCCTGTGAATTTGCAGTTTGAACTTACTTGCGAGTGAGTGCCCCGGCCTCAAGCACCGGGCCATGTATGGTCCCAGTCCTCCCTGGTCTGAATGTGGAGGAATAAATTGAACTGAGTTCATCTACACAGTTTCTTCCATAATTTAATTTACCGTATAACAAAAAAGAGCACCATTAGGTTGACTAAACTCTGCTATTTGAGGCCACTAAACATATTTGGGGCTGAAGTAAATGAGGTTTTTGTGTACTAACGTCACCTCTCATCACCTAAATTGTTTACACACCATTCTAGAGCAAAGTTGTCATAGCAACATTGGCGTCAGTAGAGAAATGATGCACAAAGTTATTTAGCCAAAACAGTGAAGTATTTATGACAGAGTAACTATGGCAACAAAGGTGAAGAGAAAAACAGTTGTCATATCTCAGTAATATTAGCTAATGTTGTTATCAATCTTTTTTGTGTTATTTATAGAATTGAGCATAATTTTTATTTTTAATCATCAAGAGTTTAGTGGGGGATTTCTGGAGGCTTAAACTTGTTTTTTGGGATGTCAACCCCCTGCCCCATATATGTCACTATGGATAACTCACCAGGTACCAGCAGGAGCCAGAGTTTCATTTTGGCAGTGCAATTGTACTGTAGTCTGTATAGTGTAGTGGGTGGAGAAACAGGCATTTCTTTGTTTACAATGTGAGCAAGACTTTTTAACTTGACTTTTTTTTTTTGGTAGCTTAGACATGCATATGTGCAAGTTTTAAATATTTGCACGTAAACATCCTGTAAAATAAGAGTTTCATGTTGCTTTTGATTAGCTTTGTTTTTTCTATATTTCTTTGAAAAAATTCATTTTGGAATGATGGTAAGACTAATTTTGATTCTTTTTTATAATGCCAAGTAAAACATATTTTCCATGATGCAGGAGGAGAAAAAGCAAGGTTAGCAAAGATGAGGGGCCTACAAACTCAATAACATCTTTGATCAACTCATTACACCCTCTCCAGCGAATTCTTCAAGTTAGAAAAGCAGGAAGAAATAGAAGATGGGTTGCCAGTCTAACGAAGTCTAGTGGTGAACCATCACTAAAAATATGTAACATACCGTAAACATTTTTACTTGGAATTATCAAAAAGAATCAAAATCTTTAGCAGCACCTTTCGAGTGAATAGTCTACAATGTAATTTGGATTATCTTTTATTTTTGTGCAAATACAGTACAACAAAGTTTCATTTTCCATTGTGCGTATTGGTTGTCAAGCACTGTTGTATTCTTTATGGCGAGTTGAATGGCTGAGCTATTAAGACAGGGGAGCTACAGCCACAATATCAGCGCTGGTTCAAACAGCATGCTCGCTTGTGGTTACGGTGGGAGAACAAGTCTTCTAGGATAAGGAGTATATACCGTAGGCCCATGCATAAAATTGTGCACCCAGTACATCTTTCGAGATGAGTAGGGGGTTACCCTGGTGTACTGGTGCATAAAGCCCCTGTTACCCTGCAGTTATTCACCACTAGATCCTTCGCAGGATGTATCTATGTAAACGTAAATCAATCAACTTTTTCCAAATTGGTTGAAGCCATATTTTTAATAAATTTTCATTTTGATATGGAAAAGGGAACTCGCCCTAAGGATCTTGACAAAGATCTGTGCTTGCAAAAATTTATATAGTTTCCATTCAAATCAATAAAGTCAATAAGTATAAATATATTTATGTCTTACAAATGATCTAATACTTTCCATTCCAATTTGTATCATTGCAATCAGCATATTTCAAACTGATCTGAAATATGTAATGGATTGTAAATTGAAAGTTAATTTTATCAATTATCAAATTAAGGACATGGCTTTCAAGATTATGGTGAAAGTCTTCCAGCTGCCTCTGTAGTCAACCGGGTGCCATACTATTCTCCGGCAGAACGGACTGATGGTCTTTTTCAATCATAGAAATGCGCATTAATCCATTCCAATATGATAGATAATAATTCTAATTGCTTATGACATTTAAGATAAATGCAAGTTTCATATTTACATAAATTCAATCATTCATTATCTAGCTAATTCTGAATGACTTCTTTAGTTGTCATGTACAATTCATATTAGTCTGGAACTGTATTAATATGTTCTCATGTAAATGAAATTAAGTAAATATAATATGTTAAAATAATAAAATAAAGAATTCCACGTGTTGAATACCATTAACAAACTTAAAGGTGTCCAGCCAGCCTATGTTGAGCTCAACATAAACAGAACAATAAAATTCAATATTCTAATTGCTCACTTCATACAATGTTTGGCATGGTGCATATACACTTAAATTGGCTGTTAAATGATTGTTTTTCGTAGTAAAATGCCTCTAAGATTACCATCAACAAAAATTTATATAATATCCGGAATTTTTTTTTCAAATAAAGTACTAAACTCAGTGCATACTTTATTCCAGCTTAGGCATGCATACCAGTAAATTTTAACTTCAAATTGTGTACTTTTATGTATTTAATATTTGTAGTACTTCAAGGTCAATTTAATCATCTCTGATTGGTATGATAGTCTTGGGAGTAACAACTTAAATGTTGAGCTACAGTGGCAATGCCTTGATTATTAAAAAAATATAAAAGATGATATAATACCGATATAGCTACGGAATTAACAGTGTCTTCATACTTATTTTATATTCTATAGGCCAACACAAGACAGTACTGTTGTCGTGAGGAAATTTTAATTAAAATGTTTAAAAGCATCTTTAATATACTATAATTTGACCATACCCGACGCAGACCTATCGCGTAAGCGTTTAACTCACACAGACCCGGTGTGACACCAAATCACATGAGGCTGCTGCATTGTATGACGCTGTTTGAGTTGGCCTTAAAAGTCCAGATAAATATGTTTGAATATCATGTCCTCTGTTGTATTATGATATATATCATTTTCAGGTTTGCAGAATTGTACACGAAAAAGATGTGTGCCTAAAATATGCGAAGGTTTTCCTTTCTTTGTACACGAAAAAGAAAAACAGAAGGCGTGTACAAATTATCAAGATGTTTTCCTTTTTCACCAGGTATATTTAATTTTAACTTACGATACGATAATACTTTATTGCAATTTGAATCAAATACAGAACAAATTGAAGTTGAACATTAAAAGGGGAAAAGTGGAGGACAACCAAACGGATACAAAAACATTAAAAGGGATAAAAGACACTAAAAGCAAAACATTCAATTGTTTTTTTAAACAATTATTAGGGGTTCACTAAATCTTCTAAGGTCATATTTTGTGTCCAGTTCTTATGGCAAAAGTGTTGTGTGAACTCTTTCTGAGTAACCAAGCTTTTAAAAAGTACAGGGACCTTTAATATTGGATTACCCTTTTATATATATATATATATATATAATTTGAATTTCGATAAAATTATTAAATTAAAGTACTAAAAAGGTAAATAACAAAAGCTTATAGTTTAATAGTTAAGTACAAAGATTTGGGGGCTTATTCCTGCTGAGGCCCATATAAACTTTAAAGCCACCATCTGTCATGAAATCTATGAAAAAGAACAGAAAAAATTCATAAGACTGTTCAATTATAAGGATCAAATTTTACCCACACAATAGAATGATAAAACATTATTTACGCACATTATCACTTGATTAACTCAGTGGTGTTTTTCAACAAGGTCATTAAGATATTTTAAATCATGGAGCAGAAATCGAAAGAAAGGAAAAATTACGTAACAAATGAAATACAATATAAAATCACATTATGAAACTAATAACAACATTACTTAACTAAAATCTTACTATGTAGACCTAAATCCTTAAATTGATTGTCAGCCATTTAGGGGTATATCAACAACTTGCTATTATTTATGCATCTGTTTATTGGTCAATAAACTAATTTCTCATTAAATTTTTTTAATTGAATACTAATATACATAGCAAATTGAAAACTAAATTTAACTTAGGTTTTAAAGAGCTCACCACAGAATATGATTTGTAAAGACTCTTTAACCTTTATTGTCAAAAATTCCCACCCTCATTTTGTCAACCAAATCTATATTTTTTGATGCCAGAGATGTATTATCTAAGCAGTAATAATTTAATACCTGTGGTAGGCCTACGGAATATTTCTCAAGGTATAAAAGAACTTTTCAATTCTTGAATACTTTACCTAATCATTTCAAAACACATTTATTGGCTTAAATGTTAATGAACATGTATTTAGGTTGCAATTCCAGTATATAATAATGTCAATCTTTAAATCATTACCTTATCATTGTCATAGTATAACTAAATTAAGTTGTAATCATAAATCTTTTTTTTTTTTTAAGTTTTTAAAGTTTTAAGTATTGTTTGTTTCATGTTTATTTGTTTCATTGTTAATTGATTTCATTAGATAATCTATTATTATTTTTTCATTCTTTCAATTTTATGTAAATATTTAACAATTACCATATACGTATAATATCATCAATCGATTTGTACTTTTCGAATGGAAATTGATATGCATTGTATTGGTTTGCTATAATATACAGTATGAAATGTTTTATGGATGATGTTAATTGTATTTTAATGGATAACTTCCTATAAATTGTATAATCGAATGGTGCAAATACACTTTTCTAAACACTAGCTATATTTCTTTTTAAGTGACCAAATGACCATTAGAAGTGGCCATATTGCCTTGAACTTGTCTGCACCAAGAATCTTCAATGAATTTACCAGCAAATTGTTTAAGGAAAAACAAGATTACTGGAGTAATTTATTTGATTGACAAGCTCTGACATATGTTGCTGCCTATACTCTGGAGGCTCCAGCTAAGCAGTACTGTTCGTACCTCCAAACTCAATTTTATTTTCTGACTCATAATCTCTGGTTGAGACTACTTAAAAATTCCCACAAGTCTTGTAACTTCCTTTCCACAAGCTAACACAGGTAATGCTTTGTGCTCTGAAGCTGTTGTATATTTATACTTGTCTGTGTTTTCGGATTACAATAGAACACATTCATACTTTAATCAAGTCGTGCAAAACTGTAAATTATCTTAGGCCGACTTAAAATGGACATGTTATTAATACATAATTATATTATGAGGAGAGATGTTACGTCCACTGCCATCGAACAAACTGCCATGAGAGCAGATATAGAGAATGTTGTGAAGTACTGACAGAAGTAGCTTACGCTTTCAATGCATACTTCGAAATATAGCAGATGATGAAAATAAATGAATGATAATTGTTTGGATAGTTCTATTTAAGTGCAATCTATTAAATTGGCGGTATTTTAAGAACCATTGGCAACAGAAAAGTTGGCTGTGCAAACCTGAAAATCTGACACAAGAACATAAAAACATATGGTCATAATAACAAGAATGTATATGGAAATCACAAATGTAGATAACAAAAGTCAGTCTTCTAAAACGTCAGATTCACTGGGGGGAGTTTCAGGCTGATAGACTCTGACCAAGAGTTCTTAACACACCCTTTTCTCCAGCCATCGATTGCTCGGCATTGCACTCACTCTCTTAATGTTTGGAGATATTATAAAAGATTATATACATCTACAGAATGCCACAGTAAAATTTGTCTTTGAAATAAAAACTGCAAATTTCTTACAGAGCCTTCAGTCCCTGGTATCCCCTCCCCTAGCCATGGGCTAACTTCGCTTTTCAGTTGCCATACACCTTCTATCTCTCAAATGGCACCCATATTATAAAGATATCAATCCTCAATTATATATTCTCATAGAAACAAGGGAATAGTAAAATCATACCCTATTTTTTTGCTATAAAGCTCGACTAATATTATACTGAAGCAATTTCCATAAAAAATCGCCGACTCCTTTGGCGACGCTGATTGGTCAGTCAAATCAGGGAGTGTTCCCGATTGCATCGACACAGCCACACGACAGTGCAAGGATTGCAGTAAAAATGCTGTAGCGACTGTGTAGCAATTGTATGGAAACCAAGCTTTAGTTAAAAGTCCTAAATGAATATATAAAAAGATATAAATGGATGTAGGCCTACACCTATATAAATTGTAGGTGATGTATGTCTTTACGTTATCACTATTTACCTGGCTGATTGTCAAGTTCACCATCGTGTTTACACATACTGTCTTACTGAAGTTGCACTTTTCACCTTGTTTACCTTCTTAACACCATTTTTTTCTGTTACCACACTAATGGTTACATTGTTTATTTACTTATTTAGTCACATGACCCAAGAACTGGCAGTAGCAAATACAGCATTGTCCTGTGAGCGTAGTGGTAATCCCTGTTTTGATCATTACTGTGTGATTTGGGGAGAACAAGTATCAAGGCTATGTGCACTGGTGGCGCCAGCGGGGGTGGCATGGAGGAATTTGGTACTGGGTTCAATTCTTGTAACAGCACATAATTTGTTTTCTCACAACAACAAAAAAATTCTCCACTCCCTAAGCCTTATAAACATTATTTTGTCCCCGAATATCAGCCAAACTTCTTTGATAAATTGGAAGAGTTACCCTCCATAAATATGGTACAAAATAATTATAGTTTTTAATGTGTTAGTGGAATCACTTATTTGAAGTGAATCTATGTGTTTGTAATACTTAATAACTGGGGGGAAAGGGGGAATTAGTTTTCCCCAGTTTTTAAATATTCAAAAATCTGTATCTTTTGTCAAACAACTTTTTTCTGTCAAAATCAATTCTACCACAACATATCAAAAAATAATTTTCCTCAAGAGCCAGACTTTAAACAACACAAAATGTCCACAAACCGCAGCATTCTACATCGCTTGTAATTTATTTAATTAAAATTTCAGAAGATGATTACACAGGATTCAAATTTTTTTATTTTACTAAGACATTTTTATTTAACATTTATCACTTGTATATTTATGAACATGTTATGTACAACAAACCTCAAATTTATTATTTTGACATTAATGTTGACTTGTATCTTGTAAACAGCACCCAAATTTTTCCAAACTACAAGTTGAATTTCACAAGGTGGTTTTAAGAAAAAAACGTACTGTAGGCCTACATTAGTAGTTTTCCATTAAACAACAAAACAATGTTTAGATCACTTTAATAGTACTAAGTACTGTATTGCCATGGCCCTCTTTTCATGTTGGTTAAATAACTGTTAATTAGTTAATGGATCACATGTAGACATAGTTTATCTTGATAGGCTGTCACAAACTGCAATCAACAGAGCCTGAGGTAATTCAAAAGAACAATTCAATTCAATGCAGTTGACATGCCCACCACCACATTGCTATATTTTCCTGTGTTTAGATCAACTACAGCAAAAGCATACTCTGTACTAGCTCACGTTCCTCTATGGGTGTGTTTCTTATTTCAATACGAGTCTCGTCTGTTACTAAAGGATGGACAAAATTAATATAATAGCTTTAATGAGGCTACAGTACTTGGAAGTGGCATTACGCCAACGTACAATATGGTTCCTGGGAATGAGATAGATGAAGCCCTATGGAAGTGCATGATGGCGACTCCAGTGATATGTATATTTATTAATTTTTCCCGTTTTCTTGTTTTCATCGACAAATTTAATTCTTAATATCAGTACCGGTACCAAGAACCGTTGAGAATCAGTCATAATGCCAACTCAAGACAAACATGCCAAATTTGAGTTAAATGAACATTTCAGTAGCATGTGCACTATATGTATTTTTTTTAATTCTCTAAAATCAATTAAAATAGCCCTTTCAAAATTGCCATATTTTCTGGGGTATTCGACCCCACTGGACCCCTTCCAAAAGATTTTGAGCGATGCCCCACCATGCCCACTTATACTGTCATCAGGGACATCAGCCCCACCCTTAAAGACATTGGATACCCCATTGGGCAAATCCTAGCACCACCAATAAATATACATTTTCCGAGAAGAGGATTTCAGCCAGCACTTGTGGAGAGTGTAGTGGTGGTCCAGATGGGTTGCCCCGTTGTACCTAGCAGAGAGAATAAGCATTTTAAGCTTTGTTTGAAACATTTTAAACATATTATGCCTAAAGAATTTTATTTAAAAAGAAGAATAGTAAAAGTTTTTAATTAAACTTTTTTTAGTTTGAATGTGTCATAGCTTAAAGAGGGCCTTAACTGGCCTTTCAGAGCCACTGCTCCTGCTGGTACCACCGCTACCTAGCAACCAGCCTGCAGCTCCACCCCTGTCAGTCCCCAAGTATGACGCCACTGATACGTGAAGTTTTTGATCCAAGGACATTAGTTCATACTTCATACCCTGAAGAATTCTTGGAGGAAAGGGGGATTAGATTCAAATTAATCATAGTAAATTTTATAAATATTTTTTGACAAATCAACTGCCAATTTTGCAAATTACCAACTGATTACCGGAACTGACAACCGCACATCCTTGAGTTAAACAAAAAAAAAGAAATGTTTTTTATTACAAATTAACCCCTGCCTCCCTTGAAAAAAAATTAATGAAATTAAAAAATATAAAGTAAAGATAAAATTCTCACACTCATGTCTGCTAAACTCAGAAACTTAAAAAAGATCACATAAGATGCACTTGAATCATTACCACAATGCTGAACATAAAATTTGTTTTTTTTTATGGTACATTTAATTAAGAACAAGGTAAATAAACATAGTTGTATTAAACAGATACAAGCTAAAAACTATTATACATAAACTAGATTTAAATATCCATTGGAAGTGGTTTGATTACATGATTTATGGTCACACATCCAAGTTGGTTCTGTGGTAGCCTCACATACTAATATTATTATTACCATCATTACAGTTTCAATTAAGTTTTATTTTAGACATTCAATGTTCAAATCAAAAAAATAGAAAACAAATATAGTAGTAAGACAACTACTGGCATTACAGTACTTTGAAAATTGGAAATGCTGTAACATTGGAAAATACATTTTTGGTAATTAAATTAAATAAGGCTGATGACGATTCTGCAGCAGATAGGTCAGCATATCTTAATTCTGCTCAATTAATAATTAGCAATTAGTAAGTCTCAAATCACTGTTGAGCCAGTGTGCTCAGGAAACGCATCTGTGTCAGCAGTAGCTAGTGGCCCCAAAGAAGGCATAAAAGTCCGGACTCTGTCTCCAGTGCCCCCACTGAACAATCCTGTTACACAGAGGGTACGCTGCATGACCAGCGTTACCACGAGACTTGATAAGGAAATACTGTCAACGTCCACACCTATGCGGCAGAGCCAACGATATCCCCATTGATGAATCATATGAATGTGCAGTTTGATTATGGCGTGTAGGAAGAAGTTTGCGGTTCTTGTAGTTTCTTGCCAACGTTTCTAATTGTCGGGATTGATTGCATTGGTGTACTAGAGGCCTGAATTATAATTATGCATTGAATTATAAAGCTAATTAAATGGTTATGAATGCCAAACAGTGCTTGCTCATTAAAGCCAAATAGTAATAATGATAATAATAATAAATGAATAATAATGATGATAATAATAATAGTAATAATAATAATATTAGTAATAATAAAAACATTAATAATAGTAACATTAACAGAAAACATTATTACAAACAAATATTAGTATAGTAATAGTAAGAATTAATTAATATAGACCTACTGTACACTGAAGTAGGTGTGAAATTTCCATTTTCATTACAGTATATAAATGGTATCTTTGTTTAAAAATTAATATCTAACATACAAAGTAAAATCATTCTACTGAAGCTGAATTGCAGAAATAATTTTAATAAGTTTTAACAACTTACACAAGAAAAAAAACCCATCATTACAGAAAGAAAAATATTACAACTTAATTCTAAACATATCAACATATTAATTTAATATATAATGGTAAATTATCATTTCAGCAAGAATTTAAAGATAACTATTTTAATGATATAATTTTGATTAATGATTCACAGATATTAAATTAAATAAGGAGGCAAGTGTGCCTTCCAGTGATAGGCATCAAATCATCTCTTAGGACAAGCCAGTTTGTGGTTTGAACTGCACATTCACGTATCCTACGGTATCCAAAGTGAATCAACATAAACCTATGTTGTGTGTATGTTTTTTTATGTGGATTAACCATGATACAAGCATGCATGGTTTTAACTACGAACTGTCTTATTTCTCTGTTAAAGATGACTACCTAGCTGTGTTTGGCAAAGAAACTTTAGCTAATTTTGTACCTTTAAGTTTGTTATCTATTAACATTCAATTCCTATATTCTTTGCA